AAAAAAAAAAAAAAAAAAAAAGAAAACTTGAATTTCAGCTTGCTCACCAGGAAAGCAGCTCTCAAATTTTATTTACGGCGGACAAGTCTAGGTAGAGGGGACTCGAGAGGGTGGCGGAAATTGAGCCTAGCCCTTACCTGTCAGGCAAATGACAATGAAAAGGTTCTTGCTGTCAGGAAAATCTACTTGTCCCAAAAGACTACTGGACAGGACTTTCTTTGAGCAGTGAATCTCTGATCTTGATGCTAAATTAGCTAGGTTTTGCATGTAGGTGCCCAGGTCAGATAGTTTTTGTTGTAGTCGTTTTTCTGCTCCTGCTGTAGTATATGGATTGACTGCAAATTAAAACCTTAAAATGAATTTGCCGACTCTCAACCTATTATCTTGAAGTAATCTTCACAGTGTATAATGAGTCCAATACTTGGAAGAATGGCATTTTTTTTTTTCACTGTAAGAGTGGATTGCTCAGTCTTCTTTGCTTCTCTTAAAGGATGATGAAGACGCGAACAGTTCAACGAAAGAAGTCACGTTAGAAGACATGTACAGTGCTGCAAAAGAAGTCGATGGAACTGGCACAGTGGATACAACAAGCAATGCCGCAGAGAGGTTAAAACTTAATCAGGCCACCAGTACATCTGCTGGTGAAAATTCCAACCAACAGGTAACTGTACAGGGAAAAAAGTGCGCTGTCTCCCAATTCATTATTAATGACTTCATTTTATTTCTCTTGTCATATATCATACCCTTCATTTACCACTCCTTTCCTCTCCTCTTTCCTGTATCCTCCTGTCGATTGAAGGTTGGTAATTTCTCCTCACATTCTGTTCCTTCTTTTTCCTTTCTTGCCCTCCCCACCCCTCCCTTCTCTAGTCCTCTCGACACTTATCTTTCGTCACGTCTCGTCCCATCCCTTGTCCTTTTCCTGCCCTGCCCTGCCCCGCCCGCCCCGCTGTCTCTCGCCATGCCCTTCCCAGCCACACCCCGCCGTCTCCCGCCCCGCTCTATCCTTCCGTGCATACCTCACCCTTCACTCCTCAACCCCGCTTTCTTCCCCCTTCTCTTCTCATCTACATTTTACATTATTTGACTCCATAGAGCCCCGACACAACGAATGCTGATGAAAATGGTCTCGACGAAGCTTGCGGCGGAACAGATTTACCTGAGGATGACATGGACGCCGCATTAGTAAACGGGATACCTATCGAAGAAAGTTTATTCGAAGAAGATGACATTGACGATTTAGAACTTGAAGATCTGGAAATTGTCGATTAACGAATGCTGAAGATTCTTTAGACTTCGACATGACCAATTGGAACATTCAACATAAAAACCTAATGATGAGAGCTGTTGCTATCATGATAGTCTATTGAATCTTACATGAAGTCACTGCTAGGCAGTGTTCGTCATAGGCAAGAGTTTCAATGAAGTGAAAATGGCTCAAATTAATTATTTCAATACCTCTTGAAATAGTTGTAATGTAAAACGAAATTTGTAACATTACTATCTCAGAGTTGTTCTGCTTTTAAGAAAAAAGCCCTTGGGTACAGGTGCTGTATCTTGAAACCCTTTTCTTCAAGATTCCTCCGTTCAGAAGAGAAGCTCTTGGAATGATTTTCGCGGTGGAAAATATTGCCCTCAGAGTTATGACATGCGAATGCAGCATAGCAGGCAGTTGGGCCAACACAGTCAATAAATGTTTTAACACATGGCCCATTCTTGAAATGTGGCTGGTAAATATCTGTGAACAAGTTGACTGGCGTGTGTTGAATGGGTAGGTGGTATGCGCTGGGCCGCACGGCTTTTATTAGACCAGTTCAAACAATACAAGTACTTGGGATCATTTGATATGGAATAACGTGTAATGAAAACTTATTTTTGTAGTCGTCAATTTAAGGACAATAACTTGATTATCTTCAGACAATGTCTGTTTTAACCCCATTACAAAAATGAAGCGAAAACTGATTGCAAACATCATCTTATCTGGCTCTTCCGGACGAATTTCTAACAATAAATTATCGCCAAATGACGTTGAGTGGTGGTGGTTCGGAGTTTTGTCAAACACTATCTATCAGTGGCCTGTGCTCAATCAGAGGTAACGATTTTGTTTCCACCGATCAGATTTCAAACTAAGCCGGAACATGACTTGCCCACGTGTTACTGTCTTTTTGCCCTGTGCACTGGTTACATGGTTTTGTGGTTCACTGGGGTTTTGTGGGGACAGCGAGCGAGAGATGACTGACTACAGTCTGACGACTTGTGAGAATCATTGAAAACTGCTCTTAACATCTGGAGACATGAAATTCTTTGGGTCTTGACAAGAAAAGACGGGCGTGTTGGATGTCGGGAAAGATAAACGAGATGTCCTGGTAATTTTGACGCAGCCTACCCTGGTGCAAATGATCACAACCAAGTACTTCCGTGATACCTAGAAAACACTAAGAACTCGTCTTTTCTTCACTAGCTACAGTTTAATTTCCCTGATTATCCGGCTCTAGTAATATAAAGCGACTCCAGCTTGGCCCAAGCAGCCAAATCGCTACCGTGTGTAAGTAACTTGAGTGGTCGCACATGAATGGCTCAAACCGTTGAGTCGGTGAGATAACTGCATCTGATGCGCGGCCTAAAACGAGCTACGCCACAATTTGCCGCATCTTGAAAAGTTTCGCCTAGATTTTTCAAGTTCGTCGTTTGTATTCCATGTTAATCTTCTCCATCTTTAACCATCCTTGTTTCTTTATGGGTTATTATTATCTCTGGTGTTTTTCTGTCTTAGTAGAATAATATTTTGAGATTTCCTTCAATTTAAAGGTAATTTTGTACGTGGCCAAATTTAACTGAAAATGCTGTGACTGAGCCCTTTTGAGGGTCTATATTGAGAAAGGATGTCAATGGCCGGAAGGTCTAACATACCAACGTGCTTACATGGAATAAGCTGCCTGGCCCTCAGGGTCACTACCATCCCCTCCCCCTCTCCCCCGTTCAAAGCACGTAATGTAGACTTGCCCTCTCGGGTAGCCAATCACAGCGCATGATTTCGTCGATGCAACTTATGTAATAAAGCATTTTTATTGCTGTTCTTTCTAATATTCTATTGTTTTAACAAAAACGTCTCTTACCTACTTTATCGCGTCAAATGTAAACAACACAACCCTACAAAGATGGTGTTTGTTGTTGTTGTTGTTGTTGTTGTTGAAATATCATATATTAAATCTGACAGTTGCCATTAAGGCAATCAATTGTCGCTAGAAATTCATCAACCCGTGACAAAGATTTCATAAATATACTCCATTCTGCAGATTAAATTTTCGCTAGTGCATTTCTATAAGTAAACTTTAAACGTAGGTCTGTCTCGATTAAAAAATTCTAAGTGAGAAACATTTAGTAAAATTACCATTTTCACGTTTCTGAGAACAAGTTCCCGTGCAAAAGTGGTCTAGCCCCAGCATGTCAGTTAACCACTAATGGACAAGGGCTCCCTTTTTATACGACAGTTATTAGGAAACAATCGTCTACTTTTTTTTTCTATGAGGATTCTATTAAAAGATAAGAAAAATTTCTGTATCATTTTGTAATCTTTTCTTGAAATATCACTGTTTTAAAATGCGTTTTGTTTCCAGGGCGCTGGAGTGATGTCCTGGCTAGCCTGCGAACGCAGACGTATTTCCGGCTGTCACTTGATTCCGCCAAAAAATAACGTCTGCGAACCCGAGCCAGGAAACGATTCTGTGACGTAATGACTTTCGTTTTTTCTTGGCCAATCAGATTCCATGATAGAATGAAACTCGAGTGCTCCTCGCAGCGAATACCTTGCGCAGTAGTTCTGGGGTTATTTGAGCTAAACTGTGATTGGCTTAGAATTCCAACGTCACAGAAATCGTTTTCTGGTTCGGGTTCGCAGACGTTATCCTTCGGCGGAACCAAGTGACAGCCGGAAATACGTCCTGGCTGAACTCGTAGCGTTTTAATTGACTACACTCACATGAAGTATATGTTGAGTCCATATCGGTCGTGTGGAAGAGGCATTCAACAAGTCGTCACCTTGACAACAGGAACTTGCAAAATAGGACTGTCGGCTTCCTCTATTTCTTTGTCTTCTTGTTTTTTCTCAGCTCCTCCTGGCTCGAGAGGCACCAGTTCCTCTCCATTATTGCTGCTTGTACTTTTACGGGCAGCTTTGTTCCGGCTTGACAGATTGTGACCTTCAAGAACAACTTCCCTGGCGGACACGCGGCGCGCGAGAATCGTGTCAATGTCCACGTCGGCGTATTGTAGCGCGCAATGACGCGTTTCTGTTATGTTGTTCTCCAAGCTAAGGCTGCGTTTGGAATCCGCCATTTCACTTTCTTTGTCTAAGTCGTAGTTTTTTCTATGAATCAATGGAATTGTCAGAAAATTACACGGGGAACAAGAACGGCTGTCTCTTGGCGAACCCTTGTATCTATAATTGTTATTACTTTTCATGCTGCCATTTTGACTTTTATACGAGCTTCCGCGATGTGACATGTTACTGCTGTTCCGCGGTGATGCGCTAGGGGACTGGTGCGGAGAACGCCCCGAGCTCAAGCTGACTTTACTTCCGGTAACTCCTCGGGACGTCGGGATTGTCTCGAGTTGTTCCTGCAATCTGTTGCGCAACTTCTCTATAGCGGAGTTACAAACGCCTAAACGGCTTAGAATTTCCAGAGCGTCTATCTGAAAGTGTTTGGTCCCTATGGCGTAGAGATACGGATTTGTAAAAGAGTTGATCGGATAGACAAAGACAAGGAAAAACTGAGCGGCTGGTACAGCGATCAGGGCCTTCCCATATATGGCTATTAGGCTGACGAGCGCAATCGGGAACCAACAAGCGAAGTTAGTGATGACCAGCATCGCCATTCGCTTTGCTACCCGACTTTCTACGCGATTTGCACTCGTCCCATGTCCCGCACCTCCAAGGCTGCAGTACATTCGTCCATAACAGAATAGAACGAAGAAAAACGCCAAGCCATTGGTTGCTAGGAGAAAAGTAACGTAAGCTTTAGAAACAGCGCTTTGCACTTCAAACGGAAGACAGATCGCCACTTTCTGATAACTGCTGACTTCGAAAAATGGAAGACCGGCCACTGTTACAGCAAAACCCCAGCCTACCCCCATTAGTACAACTATTTGCTTTGTATTCAAATGCTTATAACGTTTCAGAGGATGAACGATGGTGAAATATCTCTCCACTGTGATTATCGTCAAAACGAATACAGCAAGCTCTGTGGAGAAAATCGATACAAAGCCGGCGATTTTACAACCATTGCGATATTGCCAACTGATGGCGAAGTTTTGATATTCACTCAGCGAGTAGAGGTCGGCGCTTGCAATCATCAACAGAAACATTCCCATGCAGAGATTCGCGAACGCCAAGTTGCACATCAGAATCTTGGCTATTGAGATCTTGCGTTTGCTCAGCAGCAGGACGAATAGTTTGAATGAGTTCCCAAAAATCGCGAAAACTAGGACAAACCAAGAGCAGACGCGTAAAGCGTTCGAATCCAGCAAGTCACCGCACGGATTAAACGCGTCATTCAGTGGCGTGCAAGTCAGGTTTTCAAGCGAATCTTCAGGCGGCTTAGTGACAACCGTGTCAGGATTAAAGCATTCGTCGGGAGGCAAAGTAATCACTTTATTTGGTTTCTTGCCGTTTTTCGAATCAGGAATGTCCCATCCACTGGTAGATTTGGTTGATGGGCGTACAGTTATCGGTGGCACGGACGTTGTAGTGGCGCCCTTAACGCAAATTTTCGCCGTGGGTCCTGTAGACTGACCGCTCGGTAGCGTAGAAACTTCCGCGAAGGCGTCTTTTTCAGCTTTGATAAGGCAGCAGTGAAAGGGATACTCCACACTGGCTCTGGTTAGACGCTTGAAAGAGACGATAGGTATTTCCCATAATGCTTTCGCTCCCTTGATCACGAGCGTTTTCAAACCCTCAAGGTCATCTCCAGGAAGGTAGGTGATTTGCGTCCCTTGGAGATCTCTGAATGAAGAAAAAAAAAAAAAAATAGAAAAAGAAATCAATAGCTTACTTCAAGTGAAAAAGTCCATGCCTTGTCAAGTTTAATGGTGAACGAAAAATATGAAATCGTCATTTAAGGCAAATTTATTTGAAATGTCACCGTATAAGGTTGTTTTAAATAAAATGGTGTAACGAAGGGATACTTAAAATGTATTTCCTGACAAAAATTAATTGTCACTTTAATAAAACATGTGACATCAGATTTAACCCAAAGTTCTAAATCGTTGTTCATCGAATTAGTGAGATCTTTAAACTGTCTGATTTCACCAATAGTTATTAATTCCTCATTCTTTTATGAAGAAACGTTTTAACTATAGTATCGGCAGAGTAACTGTTTCTGCGCTAAAACTGCTGGCAACAAACTGACTGAGACTGTCTTAATGAAACCTTCTCAAGAAGAACGATGTCGTTGACTGCAAAACTGCTTCGGTTTGTTACATATCGACAACTAAAGTAAAGTAGTTTCCCTTTTGGAAAAGGAAAGTGTTGGTTTAGTCACCAATAACTGACTTCCTCTAAGTTGCTTTACACACTGATTGCTTAAAATATCGACTACTTATTATATCGATAACCATATAACTCTCTAGTCCGAGACCCGAAAATATCTCGCCCAACATCCGAGCAGGTGCCTCAAATCATCTCCAATCCACGAAGCAAACCTTCTGAAATATTGAAATATTTCTTAGCCCAGAAAGGACAAAAACACCTCAAAGTTATACCCTGCGATGTTTATGTTACTGCCATTGACCTTGAAAAAAAAAAAAAAAAAAAAAANCTTCTCGCCCCCAGGATTTCGCGCGGCCAGTTTTTCCTCGCAGTTTCCTTTCGCGTCACGCAACGACGGACTAAGCAAAAGAGGGAATATTTGTAGTCAAGATTGCTAACTATGAATGTGATATGCACTGATAAGTTGTATACACACAATGATCGAAGTCGAGTTCCTTGGAAAGCTTTCTGTCGTATGTCCTTCAGTCTACTTTCTTCTAAATACCTGTTAATGGACACAACAGAGCAAACCTGATTCAATACATTACTGCTGATAATAACGAAATATCTTTTCACCTGCCAGGACTTTGTCCAAATTGGAACCAGGTTAGCGAAGTTTATACTCAATAGACTCATAATCCCCTGGCCAGCCGCCAGAAACTTACCCGCACCCTTTCAACGCCCGTCACCAAATATAACAGACACAATGAGGCCTCCGACAGTACGAATCCCTAAGTATAAGCGCAGTTCGTAAACCCCGACTGTAAACACTGTTATGTTATTCTAGAAGACTAATATGACCCGGCTGACTACTTACAATTGATGAAGTTTAGTGTTGTTGATGAAGACTCTGTCTGGAATCACTGTAATGTGTGTGTACTTTAAGTCACTGAAAAAGAAAAAATGAGAGAAAATAAATTTTTCAATGTAACCTCGTCCAGGCTCCTTCGCGGAGGTTCGTTGGCCTGGGGCGCTCGCCGTAGACGGGGCAGTATCCGCTGTGCCGGATAAATGCAGTCTCCCATCTGTCGCAGGTAAGTTTCTGATGTAACAGGCTAATTTTCCCCAGCGTCGAAAGCATTCATATGAAAATGTGTTAAAACCTGCACGTTCATATTCAGGAAAATCAAAGTCAACTTATTTTTATATGAAAAGTTTTGCACAAGCATTCGTTCTGAGAAACGGAAAAACGAAAACTCGGGAGTGGCCAAAAAATAAGCAGAAATATTCGCAGAAATTTTCAGCAGAAGTAGAGTCGTACCCATGCCTCGTGTGATCTGTTATTGTTGTAAATGAAGGGGACTTGGTACCGAGTTTACAACTATCGAACAGTGTCATTATGGAATAGTTTAGAGAGAAATCTTAAGCTAAGAGAATCTCTGAATATTTTGAAACGAAAATTTCGAGGTAACCTCTTAGGTGAATTTTTATTTTCATAATACAATATTGTCTCTTAATTCTATTTCATATCATTCTTATTATTCCTTGGCACATTGACTTATTTCATTTTAATTTTAATGTAACATAGTAGTAGTATTAGTACCTAAAAGCCCCCATGGGGAGTGCTAATAAAATTTGTATTGTATTGTAGGAGTCTGGCGCGTAGATCTCTCCTGCATGATTCGGCCACTTTTTCGCGCCATTTAAACTTTTAAAGCAAATAAACGGACTTAACTTAAACCGTGAAATGTTTTGATTCGTAAAATATACTTACAGTATTTCAAGTTCGTGGTACTTTCCCAGTGTTCTAGCATCCAGTATCTTGACTGGATTGTTAGACATTTGCCTGAAAGGAAGCAAAGATGTGGTGAACTTAAGCAAGTCGTATTAAGAAGTTTAAAAATGTAAGTAACGGCTGCTTACGAGCCAAGTGGTCAATCAGGCCGGCGTTTATCTCTGGTGTCTGTAGCATGAAGCGACTAGGAGTATTTCTAATCCCCCTTGGATGGGATGCTAGTCCATCGCAGGGTTAACCCCCAGAATTATATTCGCCGGTACCCCATTTATACATCTGGGTGGAGAGAGGCACTGTGAGAGCAAAGTGCCTCGCCTAAGAACATAACACAATGTTCCTGGAGGCGAGCGAACTGACCAGGAGGGCACCCTGCCCGTCACTTTTAAGGTGGCTCAAAACAGTTTCCAGTGCTTTGCAAAACTTAGATTTTGATGAGTCATTTAAACTACTTTTTATCAGTTGATGCTTCAATCATGGTATCAATAAAACGTCCAATTATTGCTGAACACGTTGTTATCATTTTCGTGACACAAGTTTCCATAGCATCAGATACGACCTGCTTAAGTCACCTTCAATTTCAGCTTTAATTACTCATAATTAAAAAAAAAAAAAACGGCAAGGACAGTTAGATCCAATACGCAAAATATCGGGCCAGCGCGCCTAATTATAATTTAACCCTGACTGAAACACTTTGTTGTGCAAAAAAGACCGAGGGTCTTTTTTGCATGGGCCTCGCTACGCTCGGTCCTTACTGCCAAAACCTTGGGCCGATATTCTGCAAGCACACTCCTCGCGGTCGGTTAATAAGATATTTTTCCCTACGTGTTTACTTTGGTAAAATATGTAATTATTATTACTAATTGCTACTAAGGTGAATAAGGAGGTTATACATACAGAATCGTAATGAGGGAATTAGCATCTTTAAAAACGGGAAGCACTTCGAGCTGGTTAAAGTTTAGATTTCTGTGGAGAAAAAAAAAAGGAAAGATTAGCCTTAGTTTTAAGATCAAAACCAAATTCTTGTCACTAGTGTCCATAGTCGAGTCTCTTAAAGGAAAGTTCTAGTTAGGGAAATATCTTAACAAAAGACGTTGATTATCAACATCTTATTGAGCGCTAGTGAAAAATGCCAGCCTTATTAAAGAACAGTAAACCCTCTCCTTCAGCTTTAAGCTAGCTTTTGAACTTGAACTAACAATAATGGTTCCCGAACAAAGAATTCTGTATTTTGACACCAATGTTTACAATAAGGTGTTTGACAAAGTGCAAACAACAACAACAACAATAACAACAACAGTAACAACAGCAACAACAACTAGAAACGGCAGGAACACCGGTTACCAAGGACAATATAGCAAGGACAACAACAACAGCAGCACTGAACAGTGACAGTTGAAGGATGACAACAGAGTTCAGTAAAACTGATGTACATTTTTGTACCGCCACAACAAGTTTCACTTTAGGCTACGCAGTTACAATATGGTGCAAGATGTTGCATAGTGTAACACTGATGCAACAATGTCCCCAAATGTGTTCAACATATAGTGCCAGCGATGTTGCAATGCACGCGATTGCGTTGAAATGTGACGTGTGTTTGGCCGGAACTCTAAATAAGACAGACCGCGAAAAATAGCGCCCAGAACAACAACAACAAAAAACATCAACACTGCAAACTTGACAATTTTCATCACTTACAAGGTAGCCAGTTTGAGCTCGTCAAATGCACCATTAGCGATTTCTTGGAGTTTATTGTTGTTCAGTTCCCTTTTAAGAAGAAGAAAGATTAATGTTCAATGCTGCATTCAGTAAACATTCTAAAACACATCCAAACTAGCACAATAGGAATTGCTAATTTTCAACTTACAAAATCTCCAACGACGTCAGGTTAGAAAATGTGTTGTCTTCTATCAGTCTTATTGAGTTATTACCCAAAAATCTGCAAAGTTGAAAAAAGAAAAAAAACGTTTACGCAGTAAGTGACACAACAAATGCTTTACTAGCTTTAGTTAAAGTTTTCGAAACTTAGTGTAAAAAATATAACCTTGTTTTTTTTCTTTCGTACTGCGCACCTTTACGGTGCAAAGTTACCTCGCGGTGGATACATATTAGATATTAAATTCATGGCTGCGCGGAAATACAAAATTATGCTGAGAGCGTTGAGAAAAGAAATTTCGTATCTCCGGGCGGCCATGCTCCCAAGTTGTAGCTATCATATAAACAACAAAGCTAGAAATGCCAAACCATTTTTCTCTGGCTGCAAAAGGCGCGATTTATTTTGTAACCATGGCAACAGTAATGTCATTTTTCACGTATGAAGATGACATGTTATTTCTACAAGTAAATATATGCTTTCGCGCGAGAGTATTTCATTGGTGTTTATATAATATTAATATACATGAAAAAATTACTCTATTCTGATCGGCTGAGAGCAGTGCAGTTCAAGTGTAACACTAGTGCAAAAAGTGTAACACCAGTGCAAAACGTGTAACACCAGTGCAAATCACACAACGTAATCCTAGATTATGATTGGCTGAAAGAAAATAGGAAATTTTCTAAGCCAATGATATCACGCAAAATGATCGCTAAAATTCAGTGCGGAAACTTTGAAAAAAGCTTTTTCGAATGAGAAAAATTGGCTTCAAGAAAGATCTTCCAGCATTTCCCTCACGCGAATTTGTTCACGTTAATGTTATTAATAAGTAATCATACGGTTTTTCTCGTTCAGTTTGGAATTAATTAGTACCTGTGAGTTTTTTAAAAAAGTTGAAATTGCACTCGCCGAAGAGGCTCATGCAATTTCACCTTTTTGAAAACTCACTCGTGCAAATTAATTTCAAATTGAACTCGAAACCGTATGATTACCTTTACTAAATGGAATTATCGTTTGCAAATTAACAGTGTACGTGGTCATTTTGGTGGAAAATAATATAAAATGAAACCATTCTCTCCACTGGATTATCTTTGAATGCTGTCAAACCGTACACATGCATTAGTCCCGTTTCATTTTGTTTGTCAACAATTTGTACTGTTCAATTTGGCGGGAAATTCTCCCCGGCTTTTCCAGACAAATGGGAAACTTTCTTCGTCTCCTTCGACACTACAACGATCGAAAACACTCATTGTTTCCATCGAAACCCCATACTTCTGAAAACGCTGTCCGTTGGAGACATCTGAAAATAGCCGGAGCCTTGTTAATTTCGTGATCAGTCTGGACAGCGAGAACGGATACTTCATAAAATGCCGACGTCATTCACATAATGTGCGCATGTGCCAGTGACAGGTTTGGTGTTTCAGTATGGCGTGTTAACGTTTCAAGCGTTTTATTTAAGCGTTTTATTGTGGACGGGAAAACGCTGCGAAAACACTGGTGTGGATGGGAAGCGTTTTGGAAAGTTAACTGCAAAATTACGCTCAATTCAAATCACGTGATGCTATCAATCTACTTCTCATAGTTAATTTACTTACAATTTCTTCAATGATC